TCAGTCAGGTGCTCAGTGTGAATTACGCCCTTACACGCTGTTCCTTCTGTTATTTCAGAGGAGTTGTGCAATGCAGACAGCTTTTCCCTGTTCTCACTTCACATCTATTCCGAATGAGCGTATTACATTGAGGATTAGGTCTCCATGTGTCAGATCCCAGGGAAGGACTGGGAGTTCATCCAAGGTCCAGGCCTTTGTTTGGTTTGCACATCGTGCAAAGGGTCAATACTCCTGCAGGTCTTTATACATAGCCTAAATCATGGAAAATTAATAGGATTTCATACAGGAATGAGTAGGAGTTGCTTTCCACTCTTATTTGTTTGGACTAGAGCCGATAACAGCTCGGGGATTTTCCAGACAGCACAGTCCCTGCTCAGATTTCTGCAAACAAACCCGTGCAGACAGACAGACAGCACCGAGGAGGGAAACAACAGGGTTGGATTCGTTATGGTCACCTCTTATCTGTGCCATGTTAGCACACGAGGCTTCAGGATGAATGCAGACTGCCCCAAATACGAAAATAAAAGCATCTGAACTCGCATGTGAAAGAAAAACAAAGCAGCGCTGTAAGCAGGGCTGCCTGGACCCCATGGGCTCTCTGACTACAGTGTGTCTGAGTGGGACCAGAGAACCCCCTCCAGCTCCTCACAGACAAAGCAATTCCTCAGGAGCAGATGCTGAGCCCCCAACCAAGCAGTGGTCGATGCAGTGGTATGGTGAGGTTCAGCTCTAGATCTGTCTGATTGATTGATATTGCTGGCACCACATTTTTCTTGTCTGTTGCCCTGAGGGGAAAAGTAGATGCATAAAGCTCTCTTCTTGCTGCACAGACACAGGAACCCCAACTTATCACGTCTCTCACTCTGGACCAAAGCACCACTGGGATGCCCACAGAAGGCAATTTCCCAACATAAAGGAATATTTCAAGTTCTGTCACAACCCCCCACCTTCTGATTTGTCTTACTTCAGTTCTTTGGCAAAGAAAGCCTCTTTTTTTCCTCATCCTCTTTCTCAGATGTTCCTACATCCCTATCAATCTAACACTGACAGCTATGAACTGCCAAGAACTGATCATGCTAGAGATAGAGGCAGTTCCCTTTACCCACGACTGGCCCTGAGTGCACAGCATAAGCTACGCTTTGACAAAGCACCCAGAGACAGACAAACCTGGGTCACATTTTTCTATTGGTAAAGACCAAAAGCAAGCCCTCAGGAGTCAGGAACTCCAAAAGCAGTAAGCTCTGAGTGTAAAGCTGAACTTCTGGCTCCATCTGCTGCCAGAAAGATGGAAAAAAACAGGAACACGAACAGGCATCAGCCATTAAAAAAAGGAAGAAAAAAAGAAATCAATTAAGACAGGTACTTCTGATTAACTCATCACCAACAGCTGAAAGACCAACAGAATAGAAACTGCTTCATCATCAAAACTTCTAACAGGCTTAAGATGCGCAGTCCTTTCCCAGGTCATAACCAGCAGGTATTTGGATCCTTTTAAGGAAGTCATTTTGGTAATTTTCAAGGAGTACTGCTTGATAGCTAATTCATGCTTTTGCAGTTGGAAAGGGCAATGCCACAAGCATGGTTCACAAGAGTGCCAGAAGGAACAGAACAAACAGGAAATCTGCATTATGTTTTCCATTCTCCCCACTGCTCGCTATATTGCCTTTACCTTCCACTGTTGCACGTGGTGTTTTTATAACTCAGCTTGTGCTTATCCACAAACAAAGAATTATTTTTTCCCTGCCAGTGTATATATTACATGATTTCATGCCAAGAGAAACGTGTGTATTGTTTGGCAAAGAGCATGGGCATACAGTGCAATCCAGCATTATTTTTGCAAACAAAGCTTCCAGTGATGTCAGTGGCTGCCTTGGGTACACGAGGAATTCTGGTTTGGCTCTTGGGTGCTTACATCACCTCCCTCTCCGTGTTTGCACAGCACTCAATGCAGTCACTATTCATTTAGAGAAGCACTTCATACACCAGACACAAGGAAACATCAGAAGCTACTTCACAAACTCTGCATAGGCGATATAATAGGGACAGATTAAGCCCTTACAGCAACGCTTCCTAAGCATGAACAGACCTTAAGAAAATGTTATTGCTGCATAGCTCTCGTTACAGAAACAGAAGGGATTTGGTGAGGCAGTTTGTGTTAAACACACACATCTCTTCCAAACACCACTTCAAATATAAATTCCAACTTACAGCAGCAAAAAGCATCGCCAGAGAAATGTCATTTCCATGCTCTCATCACTAAGACAAGGTAAGAAAAGTAGCTGAGAAGTACTGTGAAGGCACTGGGGATGCACAGAAAGGATGTTCTCTGAGCTTGCTTTTCTCACTTCTTCACTCACTTCCTTTGAAGTTACGATGCAAAAAGCAAACTAACATGTTACAAAATGTTTCACTCGTTTTCTTTGCACGTTTCACATTATCACACTAATTTGTAAATGATTTCCAGTTTGGCATCCTTCAAATTAATCTTTGTTAGGAACAGCATTTGGCAGAGCTATGGTACAACTGAGCAACGTGTAGAAAAAGCACAAAGCCAAAAGCACCCCAATTCCTGGCACTGAGCAGTTAAATGCATTTAAGTTGTCTATGTTTTGGGTTTTTTGGGGTTGGGTTTTTTTGGTTTTTTTTTTTTTTTGTTTGTTTGTTTGGTAATAGAAGCCCTGAAGAAAATTTCTAACACTAATTAAAATCTCAGACAGCAAAACCAGAGGCTGATTTACAAGCACATTATCTATATGAGCAGCCCTACCTGAGTTTCAGAGGTTGAAGCTGTGTCACTGAAACCTGGCCAAATCTCAGTTTATGCTTGCTAGAAAACGGGGGTGAAAAAAAAAGGACTTCACATGATAAAATAAGCCCTTTCCCTGCCCTCTCCTCCTCAAAACACATGCTACATATCAAAGGCAGATCGAACAGCCTATGATCTTGCCCCTTTACACACCAGTAGAGGAGGAGCTCAAACGTTTCCTTTGGCCATTTCAGCTCTTCTTGTTATCTCAGTGATGGCCTCTGAGATGTTGCTTATTGTCAGTGAAGCAGAAGCTGGCTGGTGCAGGGTTCACGTGGGGGAACAGAAGTCCTGGGTTCCAGTCTCTACTCCCTGAACAATATATGCAGTTCTGTCCTTGTTCTGACCTTGAACTGCAAGGCTGGCAATCCCAAAGCATGTATTTGGGCTCCAAACATACCTACTGGCTCTGCAGACTTCGCCATCCTCAACCCTGCTCCCGAATTTCTGAGCTGCCTGGGCAAGCACTGCATTCCTTCCTTCCTCACACATTAGTCGTGGCATTGGGAACAGTGCAGAATTGAGGGCAACGCAGAGAACTTTCAGGGTCAAAACAGAAGATTAGTCATGAATAATTGCATTTTAGGATGACAGCTTTTGATTTGTCTGCAGAAAGCTTTACATACCTTCAGAAAGCATATTTTCATAAGATTGTCAAGGAAATAGCAACGGGATGAATGAAATGCCCAGAAATCAGTCAACAACGGTCTGCTGTAGAAATAGAATGATTCTCAAGTCCCAAGCAGACTTGGCCTAGTTAATCTGCAACCAGAAAGTGGACTGGACAAAATTAGAGTTCAAATTATCACCAGAAGGCAGAGCAAGCTTCTCAGCAATACCAGGTGAAATACAATAAACCAGACCACAAAATTGTACATGCAGGTTATCATCGCTTATTACAGAAGTTTTTAAAAAGGGCAAAAAAAACAGCTTCAAAGATGTTTATCAAAACAATTTGCACAAAAGGGAGCCTGGGAGCACAGGCTGAGAAATCAAAATATGCCACTGCAAGAAAAACCAAAGCACAGTACTTGGGTGCATACTGCAGCACAGCAAACAAGCCATACAAACCAGCTCAGCATCCATGAGGGCAACAGTTGGAGTGGTGAATCACAGAAGGAGAGAAGCAGGAATGTTCAAGGGCTCCAGAAAATCTATCTCAAAAAGAAATATAAGACTAGAGAAAAAGCAGTGGCTGACATAGAATTATCAGCAGTCTTTACGTGTGTAAGAGACTGCTGTGCAGAAGGAAAGTAACCTCTTCTCTGTGGACCTGGTGGGTAGTATAAATGGGCTGCAAGGGAAATGCATGGAGAAGATAGCAGGGGATTTGCTGACAGCAAGGACAGGGAAGCACTGAAACACAAACTGTGGAGTCTTCTGCCCCAGAGCCCTTCCAGGCAGTATTTTTCATGCCAACAGTGACAGAGCTGTAACTGGGGCAGGAGAATGGACCTGATGATGTCTTCAGTTCTTATCTGCCCTGTTACTCTATGAAAGTAAACACGAGGACTTTCTGGGGTTTATCTTTTGATCTCTGAAAGCATGCTAGTAATTATGTTTACATAACAGTTTCTTTCAGTTATTTCATCCCCTTCCAATTACATTGCATAAAGCACAGCTGGCAGAAGTGCAAGCTTTCCTAGGCAGCACCTTTCTGCACTTTTATTCTTATTCCTAAGAGTAACAACCACGATGACACAGCATCCCTTGCAGAAATGAGGCCTTTCCAAACTGAGCAAGTCTTATTTCATCCATGTACAAAGTAAAGTACACACTCGTCTATGCTGTGATGTTAAACAGCAGATTAGTTCACTCCTATACACCCTGCTGCCTTTAAAATATTATTGAAATTAACATAGAATTGTTTACCACATCCAATTATCAACATGTGACAATATTTAACCTCCATGCTTGGCAAAAGCACCATTTTGCTTAAACAGTTATTAATCAGGGTTTAGCCTCAGCTAAAACCAGCTCAGTTAGGCAATAAACACAAAAACCAACCTAGTGTAAGAATAGTAGCCAGCTCTGCAGCTGCACAAATAGCTGGGGATCCAAGAGGCACAGAAACACAGAAGTACTCATCCTGGATAAAAAGTACAGCAAAAGCTTCCATATCACAACAGAGAGAAATGCAGACTGCAAAAGGTAGAGCTTGATGTGGCACTGGACAGAGGCAACCACAAGCTTCTGTGAGGCTTGCTGTTTTTAATGCTTTGCAGATTTAAATTGCACATTCTTTTTAATGCAAGGCATGTTGTAATATAAACATTCAGATTATAGAAAGTTTTATAACAGTGAAAACAGATCTGTATACTCAGATCTATTTTACAAGGCTGCAAAGCCAAACACTGAGACCAGCCTAGAAAATAGCAACTCTTGTTATACAATCAAAATACTTTACACACAGAATACAGCCTGATGATTGTACACCAGTGTAACAACTGGTCTGTCAAACCTACAGAATTATTTTTTTTAAGCTACAAATGAGAAACAGAAATTCAGCCATAACTTCAAGCGCTTCCACACATCAGACATTACACCAGGAGAGAAAAATGCCAGATGTGAGAGAGAGAGACTACATCAGACTGGTCAGTTCTATGAGAGCTCAAGACCACCCTTATTCAAATATATATCAATTTATATGTTGAACTTTAGCCAAGATTTTCAAGAATTAAACAGATTTCTATGAGCATCTCCCCTCATATATTCTGATTGAGCAGTTCAGTAAGCACCAACTAGATAAACAGAACCTTGCAATTTCATTTCCAAGTAGTCCAAGATTGGAAGCTCTTTGAAATAGTTACTTGTGTTCTTCAGGGCCATTTTTATTTAAAGACATGGATATTTTTCCCCCCACCCTTTTTATTGTTCATTTTAAAAAGCCAAGTCCTCTTTAGATGAGATGAACCAAAGGCGTCTGCTTGACGAGCAGTCCTCCCGCACATTTCAACTGATCGCCTCGGGTCAGCCAACAAGCACACTTCGAAAGCCACGTGTTCAGAAGGACAGGATGGTCTTATGGATGATTTCAATGCACTCTCTGATTTCGTCCTCCTTAATGACCAGCGGCGGGGCCAGCCGGATGATGTCGCCATGGGTGGGTTTGGCGAGGAGCCCGTTATCGCGCAGCCGCAGGCACACCTTCCAGGCGTCGTAGTCTGCAGTGAAAGGAAAGGTGCTTACACTGAGGCAGGAAAAGGGGCACAACCGTAGCTTGTGGGACAGACTGTGAATTGTTTGCCACCTAGCAGTGAGAAGATGAAATAGCATGTGTTCCTCCTCTGCAGCTTGTATTCTGTCACTTGTATTGATGACCAAAAACAGTAATTGTCACCTCTGGCTTTTAAACCATTTTCTGATATACTTCAAGGTGTTTATCTCTAGAAACTTGCTCTCAACCACCAGCTCTTTTTCCTTTCTTACGCCTTCCTGTATTCATTGTAATCATCTACCCATCCTAGAACAAACAACCTGAGCTAGTCTTCCATTTTCTGACAGAAAGAGCTTTCCAGATAAGGCCAATTTTCTTCAGGGGAAGGGTCAGCAGGGTCTTTGTGGGGTGCCAGGTTCACCATCAGGCCTGAGCATTATTCAAGTCATTGAATTCTATTTCCTTACCTTTGGTTTCTCGAATCACAATTGCATTTAAGAGTCCTCTTCCTCTGACACAGGTTACAATGTCAGACGGTGTCTTCATGAGCTCATTTCTTAGTATGTTACCCATTATTTCTGCATTTTTAACCAGGCCTTCCTCTTCAATTACCTAAGGGAAAGTCAGATCTACACTCAACTGAAAGGCATTGCATTTGTTTTACTTGTCTCTTCTAAGGATGTTACAATTGCTGAGATACAAAAGCTGATTAATCCAGAACGTCAATGCAAAGGCAGCACATCCAAGCCAATTAACATTAAGTCTTCATTCTTCCCTGTTTACAAGAAACAGCCTCATAATTTTCCAATTTTTTTTTTTAAGGAAAAAGAAAAAAAAAAAAGGAAACCTCTACAGAGTCAACTTGTGAGTTTGCCCAAGTTTGGACAATGATGAGGCTTTTTGAATGACTTGCATTAATTATGTTCATCATGCAGTCAGCAAGTGTTTAAGAGTGGAATGTGAACAAGACATCTTACCAGCTTCTGTTCAAGCTCCAGTGAACTCCAGTGAGCTCATATCTCAGTGAAATTGGTGATACCATTTATGAATGTACGTAAGCCCCTAGAAACTTGCCCTAGATCAATTTCATTTTGTCACTTAAATCATTAAGCCAACAAAATACACACAAATTAGGGTACATTTACAGCTAAGACTTTAGATTTTGTTTTGTGATACAAGGCAGTTAATCACTGCCAATCGTTCACCTCTACTTAAAGATAGATTTCTACTTGCAGCACAGCCAATAATGTTATTTAAGTGAAAATTGTATCAGCATGACACCCTTTGGAATCCCAGTCTTTACTGAAACACACAAACCTCCAGTGCTGCCAGTGCAACACGACAGGCCAGGGGATTTCCTCCATACGTAGATCCATGTTCACCAGGCTTAATAGTCAGCATAACTTCATCATCACATAACACTGCTGAGACCTAGAATAGAAAGGTCAGCTAATGCATTTATGTATGTATATTTAGAACAGTAAACTTCAACCTCTCTGAAGCAAACTTTTCCTCAGGGCTCAGGAAAGGATCATTTTCATCCTATAGCAGTATATTCTATTCCCACTCCTAGCTCTGTGCAAAGGAGGGTATATCTGATTATCACATAACAGCTTCATCCCTTTAAATGTGCTTGGTTGTACTGCTAATATCTAACTACAGCTGAGAGGCATTTCTCCAAAACGAATATTATTTCTAGAGTGTAAGTTTCAAAACACTGTTTAACAGCTCAGAAATCAGCAAAACAACTCAAGGCAGGTTGAAGCTTCCAGCCTAATCAGCAAGAAATGAAGTCACTCCAGGAGGACAAACTCGGTCATGTGTGCGTGGCAGACAAGTGAACCATGCCACTTGTTCAGCAAAACGTTTTTTTTATAGATGTTTTAGTACACATTAGTATTTTTTTTCTCCTCTTTTAGGAAATGACTTAAGAAAATCATTATAGCAAGACTGAGACCAACTGCTCTCCAGAAGACTAACTGGTAATTCCAGAATGAAAGGCTGACTACTGGACACTTATTTTCCTGATTTTATCAAACTGAAGGAAACAGATCTAGACTAAACTGATTGAGTTAATCAGCAAGGACCAAAACACCTACAAAGATGTCTGGGCTGCATTAAAAGAGGAGTGGCCAGCAGGGAGAGGGAGCTGATTGTCCCCCTCTACCCAGCTCTTGTGAGGCTCCATCTGGAGTACTGCATCCAGGCCTGGGGCCCCCAGTACAAGAAAGATGCAGAGCTCTTGGAGAGGGTTCAGAGAAGGGCCACTAAGATGCTTGGAGGGCTGGAGCACCACTCCTGTGAGGAAAGGTTGAACTGGGTTTGTTTAGCTTGGAGAAGAGAAGGCTCCAGGGAGATCTCATAGGCAATACTTGAAGGGAGCATATAAACAGGAGGGAAGTTATAAAGGCTTCTTCAAGGAACGGATATTTTTTGTTACTCACAGGATATAAGCCACCAGAAAGTGCCTTTCCAAGAAGAATTATATCAGGTCTCACATTCTCGTGGTCAACAGCTAGCATTTTCCCTGTTCTGGCTAATCCAGTCTGTATTTCATCAGCAATGAACAGAACCTTCACAGAGATAAAAAGGAAAAAAATCCACAGTAACAGAGAATGACTTTTCACACCCATTCTTACTTGAAACAATCTAGCAAAGCTGCACAGAGCCAGTGAAAGACTTCCCAGCTGTGTTACAAGGTACACCTTCCCGCACCTTCCCTGAGCCTCATGGAGAGGCACGTGGTCTGTGAGACATCACACAACTCCCAAGTGAACACGCTGTCCTGTTTCACACTGACAACTTTAGCATAGAAATCCTCTTCCACAGGAAGAATTCTTCCAATTCTCTCACAAAGACTGCTGTTATAATGAATGCCTTACGTTGTGCTTTGTGCAGAGGTCCCGTACTCCCGTCAGGTAACCTTTGTCAGGAACGATCACACCTGCTTCCCCTTGAATTGGTTCCACCATGAAAGCTGCCACGTTGGGATCCTGAAGAGCCCGCTGTAAAAATGGGGTGTATAGGAAAGAGGTCAAATTCACAGATGTGGAGATAAACGCATGTAGGAAAACCGAGCTGAAACTCTGGGTTTTAATCCTAAATGATGATAACAGCAATCATGTCAGGCTGTCACCCAAGTTCCAAAACAGAAGCCTGTGTCGCTATCTGACTCAAAACATCAGCTGCTGTGTTTGCTCAGGGAATTAGAAACCTCAAATTGCAAAGCCAGACAAGCAGATTATAGGATCAGTTCATGAATTACATCAGAAACACATTCAGTTTTGCATTAGCCCATGCAAGACAAACAATTACTCAATGCTTTCCCAGTTCACCTCAAGCAAAAATGAACAGAGCCTCTCCAGAGCAAATCTGTCATCTTAAAGCAAAGTCCACAGCTACATTCTTGCACCATCAAGCTCGACAAGGTTTAGAACTTCCAGTAATTTGAGTGAATCACCAGCCTAGTATGGCTTTAAGGATGCTGTAGTAAAACTGGCAAGACTCCCAAACTACTGCAGTGAATTCTAGTCCTCCAGTCATTGAAGAATCAATACCATTTTTGAGAAAAGTAATTCAAGATAACAATTTCTGAATCCAAGTCCAACTTTGGAATATATTTTGCCTTGTGAATGTCTAACATCAATTCTCTTACAGTTTATTTGCTGTTCTTTGTTTATGCCTTCAACATCTAAGCAAGAAGGGAAACAAAACAGACCTTGTGGTTTCCTGTTTACTCTTAAATCAACACTGAAAATCAAAACCAAAGCAGAATTCATACACATTTCCTACAGGTAATTATAGCATTTCTGTTTCTTATGTGTCTAAATATATGCTTCTTAATACGTGCCTTTCAAACTGCAAGCTTTTTTCCTACCTTGCTGCTTACTTAAGAGACACTATAAAATGCTTTCATGTACCTCGAGAGCTGGGAGGTCATTGTAAGGGATCAATTCAAAACCTGGCATAAAGGGTCCAAATCCATCATAACTGGAGGGGTCTGTAGAGCTTGAGATAGCAGACATTGTTCTGCCCCAGAAGTTGCCAGCTAAATGAGAAGAAAAATACACACACACATTTAGTTGACAAAATTACAATGCACTTTCACCTAAGACAGCTGACAGATACTTCACCTACAACCAACAAACAGCAAATGTGAGCTATTTGGATTAAACAGAAACAGTCAAAAAACAAAACCAATGGAACTCCGCATCTTAACAACAGAAGAGCAGTTAAAAGAGCACAAAGGATGAATGCAGCTTCCATTTGGCTTCAGGCTGCCATTAGGCAATTTCTGACAACTGAAGAGGCTGAGTAGCACAAATAATCTCTGCTTTATATATTCAACTGCTGTTCATAAAGTGTTATAAACCACTTCATTAACCGTGGTTTCCTTCCTGGGCTTAAGTTCAGCGTTGCATCCTCCTTGCAAGGGCTGACACTACCAGCAGCTCCTGGCAGAGCACATCTGCCCTCATTGCTTCCTTCTATGTCCACCTCAAGGGAGAAGATATGAAATCAATTTATCCCAGGAATTATATTTATATCTCCTGCTTCTACAATCATTCCTCTTCAGATCATGTGTCTCTTAAAGGAGACTTAAGAAACAGCTTATCATTCACTGTAACTATTTAAGTCTGAAACCAAAAAAGCAGGAAAAGGAAAACAGAATATTGTGCTAACAGAACATATTTAAGGCTGAACTTCACAATTCAGAAAGAGGCAGTTGGAGAATCTAAATGTTCTGCAAACACTAGTGTGGCCACAACAGTAGCTTTTAATCAAAATCATCAGCTGCAGATCCATGAGTGCAACGTAACCTGTTGAGGTCTTAGCTTACTCTGGGAAGACATCAAAGGTCAGATTTTACAGACCTTCAGATCAGCTAACTGAGAGGAAAATAAAGGAACACTAAGAATACCATGCTGTAATCACTACAGTATAACTGTAGTTATAGGAGAGAGTGTTACAGCTAGTGTCTAGAACTGTCTGCTCCCTGAATCAATACTTCAACTCAGACCATGCATTTGACATACCTGCAAAAATAATCTTTGCTTTGTATTTTGGAATTCCTTTCACAGTGTATGCCCACTTGCGAGCCAACTTACAGGCAGTTTCTCCAGCTTCCACTCCTAAAACATAAAGTGGGACCAGTGTCATACTTGTACATGAGACAGGTCATTGATGCAGCACCAAGAGCATCAGTGCAGGCCCAAACTCATGGGCAAGAAATAAAGTAGAAATATCCTCTTTTTTTTTTTTTTTTTATACCTGTGTTCATTGGAAGAACTTTGTTATAGTTGAACATTTTGGTGACAAACTCCTCATATTCACCAAGCACATCGTTATAGAATGCTCTAGATGTCAGGGTCAGTTTTTCAGATTGAGCTTTCAGAGCGTTCACAATCTTTGGGTGACAGTGGCCTTGATTGACAGCACTGTAAGCACTTAGAAAGTCAAAATACTTTCTGCCTTCGACATCCCACACATAAACACCTAAAAAAATACAAAGGTATTGTAAATAAATAAGAGATTATAAATGAAGCAAGCTAGGAGTTGCAATGCAACCTGGTCAGGCACAAATGGTCACCTTGCTATTCCCTGGACAACTCAGGTATGACCACAAGAGGCACTCTAACTGGAAAACAAAAAAATCGATGAAAAAGGTGGCAACAGAATAAAGAGCAAAAAGGTGGTACAGAATAAAGAGCCAATGAGGAATCAAGAAAAAAAGTTTCCCATTAAAGCTACTATTCCACTAAGTTATTAAATAGTGTGCCTCCCCTTTGAGTCCATAGTGATTCAGAATTTGACCCACAGAAGAAGATAAGCCCCTTAAATAAAGTGAAAAGTCAGAGTACATTTAAATGAAGCAGTAATGCTGGAGCAGTAAGCAGGGACTTAATTGAGATCCAAAGCATCTTTCCCTGTTCACATTGACAACCTTCATGCAAGGCAACATAAGAAACAAAGATGCTCAAAACTTTCTTGCTGAATTATGTTGAGATGAGAAAATGATTAGACCTCTATTTCAACAAATCATTTTAGGTATCATTTTACCGTGATATCAAGAGTCATCATAAGGCCTCATCAAGCACTATGATTAGAAATCAGCTATCTTTTTTACCTCAATTACTCAACGCACCCCTCTCCCACTCTGCCAAAAAACCAAGCAACAATCAAAAAACAGACTGAAAGCTCTGAAACTGCTTAACCCAAAGTCATTGCACACACACACACACACACACACACACACACACCCATCTACACTGCCAAAGGAAATCAGATTAGAATACCTTTTCCCCTCTCCAGAGCGACAGGCAGTGGGTGATAATTGTGGGCACCGTATTTCGCCTCACGCTCGAAGATGTAATCAGAAGATGGAGGTCCTTGAATAGTTTTCTTTGTAGCAACTGAGGTAGCAGAGTTCAGTGAAGTATGAACACCTCTGCAGAGAGCAGCAAGGCTCTGGGAGCGGATTAGCTTGGAAAACATTGTTGACTGCAGGTATGTCGTAATTGATCTGGAGGGGAAAAAAATGAAGTTAATAATTAGCACTGACAGTACTTCAGAATAAACATATGACGTGATTAAAGTGGTTTTGCTGCCAGGAATACAAGTTTCTCAACTCTTCTGCATTTCAGCTAAGAAATCTCCTACAGCAGCACTGACTACAGCTCAGGTTTGGGTTATTTTTTTCTTCCCCTATTTTAATGTACACTCATAGTAACAATAAGAAAACTGTTCAACTCTGGAAGAGTATGAGCTGTACAATTTCACCTACAGCAGCATTCTTTTCTTTTGTGTCTTAACTTGTGACTAAATTCATTAGTATAAGCTACAATTTGTAGAGCAGGGAAATGACCAGAAACTTAGATTGATATGACTGATGTATCTTTGGAAACAAACACAGCAGTTGTACCTAAACTGAGGGCAGGAGTCTTATGCAATAGCCAATTAACCTTCTCAGATTCATGTTTTCCAATGAAACGTAAGTTGTTTCCACAATTCTACGACAGCACCTCCAAATTGTGCTGAAGTGCTAGGAAGCACCTAACACTGAGATAGCACAAAAAGAATACTTTGCAGGAAGGTTCTGTATCATTTCATTCAAGGAGCAGCTTGAACACATAAAAGACCCAAGATGTCTGTGAGGGGTAGAAGAAGCAAAGGATTATCCCATGTATGTCCTGTTCTTGCATAAGAGAGAGAAGAGGGTTCACTTGACTGATCACAGCCTACAAGATACCAAATTTTCAGTCGAGATCTCAGCAGAAATTCCTGTATCATATTTGGTTGAAAACACCAAAACCATTAAGGGAGCACTTGTGTTTCCTCCATGGCTTCACCCCAGTCAATGCAAAGATATGTAACGGGCTCAGAGAAGGGAAGCAGAAGCAGTTGAAGAGTGGCAGCGGACAACCATCAAAGCAAAGGTGATTGCTTCAACAAGTCCATGAGCTGTGAGAGCAGAGGATGGCAGCTGTGCACATCACACTTCCAAACTGGCAGGAGTAGTATAGCCCACAGTGAAGATCATAACAACAAGCACACTGATCCTCCTTTGTAACAGCCTCCATAGCAAACTAACGAGCTTTCTAAGTAACATCCACACTCGTGCACTCCCTAACAATGAAAGCACACAGCAAAACCTAACCAAAAGAGATATATTAAATATTGAAAAGGAGAACATGGAGATGGTTCACACAAGACAACTGTTGTTTCAGGTTGCCTGCAGAGACAGAAATATTAAGTCAGACTTATTCAAAGTTTGTTTTGGTAAAAGAATTCACCCTGGATGCGTCAACTCTTAAACAGGCACTGTTTTTTCAGCAGTATCCTCTCATATTACACTGCTGCTTCTCACTTCCCAGCAAAACCAAAACGCTTTCCAGTTTTACTGGACCATTTGAGTCTCTGGGAAGAGTCAGCAGTCTCTGTTCCAGCAGGGATCAGCTGCTCCTCAGCCCAGGGCATTTTACCAGCTATCCCCAGTCCTGTTAAGTATTAGCTATTGGTGTTAATACTTCTCAAGACCATAATTACAAACTGGGGAAAAAAAAAATAAATCTGCATCCAAGATTTTGGTCAAAAGCTTAGCTCAGCAGCACCACTCAGAACTACAACCAGCTGAGCTCCCTCAAGGTCATTGGTCTGCACCACCCTGCCCCTGACACACCTCCATGGCACAGCAGTTAATTCCCCGATAAGCTGCTCTAGTTTGGGACGTTTTCCAGATACAGCTAAAATGAAAGCTGTAAGGAAACAAAGCTCTCATCTGCCTTGTAACAGAGATTTGCCTTGCTTGCATGCAGACTGCCAGTTTGAGGTTGTTCTTCTTTCTGAGCAGAAAACCTTTGTCAGAGACCTCTCACAGAGCTGTTTGGAGAAGCACCCTTCGAAATATGGCACAAACCATTTCACAGAATGACAATAGCAAGGGTTGGAAGGGACCTCAAGGATCATAAACCTCCAACCCCCTGCTGCAGGCAGGGCCACCAACCATCATATCCAATACCAGCCTGGCTGCCCAGAGCCCCATCCAACCTGGCCTTGAACACTTCCAGGGATGGACAGGGCATCCACAGCCTCTCTGGGCAGCTGCTCCAGCTCCTCACCACTCTCACAGTAAAGAACTTCCCCCTGATACCCAACCTAAATCTTCCCTCCCTCAACTTCAAGCCAACTCCCCTCGTCCTTCAGTTATCTGCCCTTTCAAAGAGTTGATTCCACTCCTGTTTGTGAGCCGGAGCATATGGCAGGGCAAAACCGAGGACATCGCTTGCAGCTGGAGCCAAAAAAAAAAAAAAGAAAAGCCGTTAGTGCTGATCAGCAAAGTAAGATTGAAGGACACGTCAGGAAAAGCAGGGTACGGCCGTCTTCGACTGGCAGGAGAAACACCAGCACGCCCCGCATCACACGCTGCTCCGAGGGGAAAAAGGCGTTGCATCAGAACAACGGCTGCTCACTGCCGCGCACACACGGAAAAGGAGCGGCGGGCGGCCAGGATGAAGGAAAGCACCGCCATAGCGGGCACCGAGGGCGGCCCTCAGCACGCCGGGCAGGCCGAGGCCGCGGCCCCGCTCCCCACCTCATCTAACAGCCCCTCGCCGCCCCACCGGTGCCCCGCGCGAGGTGATACATACCGACGAGCTGCTCGATACCTGCTGCTGCCGCTGCTGCTGCTGCTCGGCCCAGAGCCCGCGGCGAAGAGGCGGAGGCTGCCCGCGGCAGCTGTCACCGCGCCACGCCGCCCAGCGTCACACCCTACCCGCCCGCCGCTGATTGGCTCTCGCTCGCCGCCGCGCCCTACTCTCTCGCCTCCTACTGGTCGAGCGGCGAGAACTCCCTTCGCTCAACCAATCGGAGCGCGACGCCGGCACAACCCCGCAACAAGCCCCGCCCACTGCCAGCTCCTCTCGGGGCGGCGTCGATCCGCCCGGAGCTCCGTCCTGTTGTCCCGGCCCGGGGCGATGCGGGAATCCGCTGATCCTGCCCGCACCGCCTGCCCTCCCGCTCCCCGTCACCGCAGAGCGCAGCCAGAACGTGTGGGCTTTTGCAATGACCCGGAGATACGCGTAATACGCATGCATTGTCCTGATAGCCTGTTGGTGCTGGGAAGGAGCTTGTTTTTCCATAGAGAAATCATGATATAGTGGGATTGACAGTACACAGAATTTGCATATCGTCCCTACACACAAACAGCCCAATACTGTGGAATCTTGTCACATCTAACCAAGCAGGCAGGAGCAGCATTGCTTACACAGATATAGAGCAATGCCCTTGGAGGAAACGTTCAAGAGCAAGGCAGGCGATCCTGTGCTCCCCATAAGCACCTACAGCTACAGCCAGGCTCAGTTCCGCCTCTTGTGAACTTAGTGCTACGAGGAAAGAATGCCTCTGTCTGCTGCCAAAGCTGAATGCATAAATCACTGGATGTAAAAAGGTTGTGCCATCGGTGCTAGATTGCAAAACGCATTTCACAATTACAGCTGCTGAATGAACACATCACTACACCATGCCCAGCTGCTCCTTAAGCCTGGAAACAGTCTAGCTAGGAGCAATTGAAACTATTCTAACACAACATATGATTTTCATGTAAAACACCTACAGCTTTGAGGTTGAAAGGAAAAGCAGTGCAGCAATTATTTTGCTGCAGCTCATCTCTGGTGTAAAGAAAAAAAAAAAGCATGAATGCAGCCTTGTTCCCCAGATAGCTATGATCACATTCATCAAACACTACACATTCCTGTCTGAAAAGCAGAGACTCACAAACAACCCTAAAGCAAGAAAGGCCTTGCTTCCATATGGTTTTTACAAAGCCAGATAGAAGGGAAAAAAAAGAAAGGCTTATGCACATAAATACAGGTATAACACAGAATGCTTCCATGCTAAATGCTGATCTCCTTGGTTTTTTGAAGCTGGCATGGGTTGTTCTTGAGATAAACACCATAAACGGAGTATAAAGTAACCCTCAACAGGATCATAGGTGTTTAACACCTGGGAGGGTGACTTCAAACCCCTACAATGCATGAGCTTGATGGCAGTTTGTGTTGGAGCACTGCAGTTCTGCTGTGAATCTCTCTTTCCTCCTTTATTTTAGGCACTCATGAAGGAGACACTGAAAAAATACCCATTTTTCTTCTGTAAATTTTATCATGTTGATATTTTTCACAGCAGCAGCTGTTCCCATAGGTCTTGAAACAGTTGCTGTCAGCTAGATGTAGTATTTCATGTAATTAAAAATAAATAATAAAAAAGCAGCAGAAGCGTACTGAGTACTATTTAGTTACCTTCAGGTACCTAAAAAGGCTCCACATGATGTAACCAAAACCCTCAAAAAAATAGAAGACATGAAATTTTCACATTTTTCAATAATTTGCCCTACAGAAAAGATGAAAATCTTGACCTACTTGAGGAAGGAGGTTATTATATTCGTTCTGCTTATCCAGAAAATACTGTTTGACATATATGTAAACCACAAAGTTATATGAAGGAACAAGTTAAGTCATGCCAGTCATTAGGAGTAATTCTGCAGCTCTCTCTCCGGCAGAATTGCTCATTGAAGTCATTGGGAATTAGGCATGTGAAGAGACCAAGGAATTGCATCCCACTTATTACCATTATTTTCTTCCACTGAGGTCGGGCCAATATTCTTGTACCCTTGAACTACTTCTGGCCTCCCACATGGGTAAGGCTGCACAAGCTCTCCAGGTGGAAGGTGCTGCCCATGGGAAGCATTAGAGGAATGATAGCTTTCCACTCCATTCCTTGGTGGTGGCACCACTTGGCTCAGAGGAAGTGTAACCATAGAGCACAACCTAGACCAGTCAGCAGGCTGGGCTTGGAGTCCTATCAAGTCATGAGGCTCAAGGAGTAAGTTCATTATTAGCTAAAACTAATAGATGTCTACAATGCTAACAGGCACAGTCCCACCCATCTTCTTAACTCTACTCTCACAAGGGTAGGCTTCACACCTCCTTTTTTCATTTACTGTAAGTTAGCAATAAATACGAGTGATTTCAAGAATTTTTCTCCATGTACACTTAAATCTTTCACTTTCATCAGTAAGATTTGAAATTCACATTGATTTGAGAGAACGTGGTGTACAGAATTGCTTCCTACAGCCCATGGTTGTGTTGTTCTGGTTGTTTACTGACAGCAGGATTCTACACTAACATTTCTTGCAGGACCAGAAAGTTCAGTCTTTCCTACAGCACAACTAATAGATTATATGTTGTAGCATGTCAGAACATAGAAACAACAGACCGCAACTCATGCGAAATACATTTGCCTTTCAAGTTCAGTTAGAGGTTTCCTTTTTAGTTCATGTCTTCCAAGATAATTTAGAAAAACATAGCACTACCCCTCAAAATCAGTGCTGTTTCATCAGGTGGATGTCCCCTAACTCAGCTTAAAGCACCATGAGTGAACCTTGGAGATGATAGCCCCACTGCAAGATGAACTGTGAGCTACAGGCAATACAGAGCTTTCCCACTTTACTTGTATTTTACGAAGATTCCAATGATGATTTCTTAGATGACAACATGGATTACTGAATTACAGAATCACAATAGTCATTGTCTTCTATTGGGCATTTTTTCATATGCTTGAATTTATATTCAGTTATTTTCCTTTGCAACTTCGTGATGCTTATGTCCAGAGCCTTCCACAAAGGAGATGTGATGTTATTTGTGTGTGAAACTTAGGCTTAAGGGTGAATTTCTAGAATCGGCTATTCCTAGAATTTATAGATAATATATGACCCAAATCTGCAAGTACAGCAAGAGGGCAGGAATCTGAGAGCCCACAAGACCCTGACAAATGGCATTTCCTAGCACAAAAAGGAGAAAAATTAAAACAAAATCCAAAGAATATCAAAGCAAGAGTAAGCTACTTTGAATTTCAGGCTTCCAAGTGCCTCACATGAGCTTGCTTCCTCCTTATACCAAAGTATTTTGATCCTGATCCCACAAACCTTCTGAACTTCCACCAACTTCACTCTTGGATTAGATCTCGACAGTGACTTCTGCAAAAGATATTCTGGAAATTGCTTACCCTGCTCTTAAGACATTCAAAATCTAACCAAGCTGGCAACTGAAACTGTCATAGGAACATGCAGAAGATGAACACACATCCACATAGCTGGGTAAAAAGAATGAACATCTTGTCAATTAGGCTGATCTCAGAACCGAGCCCTGAACATCTGGTTGCACTTTGTCTCAGGAGTTTGGAAGCTCTCCTCAAGATTCTACCCCAGCACAACCCCACAGGGCCCTGCTGCTCATGTGCCTGACATTGCTACAGCTGTGACTCCCAATCTCTCCAAGCGATGAGCTGCTCAGCATTGCTGCATGCTGGGACTGGGCAGTGCACATAATGCCTCATACCAGCAGACTTTAACTCAGTCTCCTTGCCTTGCAGGGAGAGATTAGTGAGGTATCACACTGCATCATTGCCACTTGTCCCAACCTCTGGCTCGCTTGTACCACGCTCCTCCTCTCAGGACCTTAAACCAGCCTGAAACCTTCTGGAGTACAAATAATTCAGAAAAACTAGAGGTTTTCTTGATACAAAGAAGGGGCAAAGCAACTCGGAAAGCAGAGCATTTAGCCCATTCTTTGCTCTCTGCAGCTCATTTGTTTCCAGTGCTCTTCCTCATCAGTTTCAGTGAAATGCAGCATCTCTTGAGCTTATGAACAATTGTGCTTTTCAGTGTATTTGAGTGGGACGGACAAGAGCTATCAGCCAGTGGCTGTGCACAAACATGCACCAAGAGGTGTCAACATGGTGCTGGGGGCACAGGGGTGACCTTACCTGAGAGGACAAGAGTTCACCTTGTCTGACTCACAGAGTGCTGGGCCAGGTGCTTGAGGAGCCACAGATGCAGAACCCAATGTCTTGTGAGGCTCCCATCTTGCAAAGCCCATGCATCTTTGTATATACTCTCATTTTGAAGAAAGAAAGAAAGAAGAAAATCACTGCTTCCTTAAATAGCACTAGAGCAAGTTCTCTGATGAAAGCTACCACAATAGATCGGTAGTGTGACTTTCAAAGGAGTAAAATATTTTATTTGTATTGGATTTGTACACAGATATGATGTCTTCGAAAGTGTTTCAGTGTATCAGAGAGGTGAAAAAGCCTGAATGCCACTGAATCCCTCTGTAGTGTTATGACATGCCTAAGCCACATGAAATACCATGTTTTTTTAATTACAGTTCATCATGTGGTATTATAAGGAGAAGAAAATATGATGATTAACTTGGGAAAGAAGCTGGCTTTGGAGCTCCTTAGTGTTTAAAGAGGAAAATACAGGAGAAATTAAGGCTAATATCTGTGGTACAGTAGTAAGCAAATAGCAGAGACTGTGGTGCCATGAGCTGCAGGAATCACAGAGCCACAGGGCTGCAGAACACAGAGCTGCTCTATGGGGAGGAAAAGCCCACGTGGGAGCAAAGGTGCAAGATGGTACATGGGAGGCAAAAGGAAATCTGTGACACGCAGCTTGTAAGTTTGGGACACGCACATTATCTCGCAGAAACTTTTACTGAACACAACCACCAGATATCAGTCCCACACCGTGAGCTCTCCATGCCAGGAAACTGCCATAAAAGTCTGCTCAAGGTGACTTTAGCTGATATGGGATCATTAGAGAAAACGAACATGTGTTCAGGTCTACTTATGCAAGAGTCCTGTTATCAATTGTTCTTCAGAAGGATTTCACCCACCAAATATTTTGCTAGA